ATTGAGATAAAGAGATATTATATTGATTACCTTTTATGTGTCTATTTTTCTAATGTCTCATGTGCACCATATCATTTTTATATTCGAGTTTTTATTGTAATAGTTGGTGGAGTATATGGTAGTGGACCCCCTGGCCCACATATTCACGTCACTTAGAGATAGGTGTAACGGGCCACCAAAAGACCAACAAGCAAGCAATCACGCCTTCAGAAGCTAGAGACACCGCTCAACCAAAGTCTGCGTCAACGTACATGAAGAATATAATGGATTACTGAAGAAACCGGCCTGAGAAGACTCCGTCATACATACGACCCCTTAGCAGGTGCCCTCAGAACACCAAGGGTGGAGTCCTTGACCCATCTTGAGAGCCCTCGGTTTGGTCTTCTCCGATCCGAATCTATGGATTAGCTCACACGTGTACGTGCATTTAGTGCATTTAACATTCATGATTAGTATAAATAACCCTCTTTTGGGCAGATGTCACGTTTGAAACCTTGATTAATGCAATATTCCTTCTCTCTAAGTCATTAGCTTTGTCTTCTCTCTGTATAGCACTAGTGATATTACGACGTAGCTATCAATAGCAATGTGCGTTTTGTAGTGACGCTTTTGACTAGATCAAATCGGACCAGATCAGACTTATAGTTACTAGTATAAAATACACATAGACCAGACATTTATCAGACCAGTTCAGAGCAGACCAGAACAAATCAGACAAAACAAGAAAATTTCAATCCAAGTAAAAACCTCCTAAATCATATCAAGACCGTACCGGCCAATCAAATTTCTTAATTCATACTACCTCCGTCCCTTAAAACTTTGCCAATGTTGACCGGCACGGAGAATAATAAAGTAAAAACTGCGTGGTTGAGGTTTGTGCAGAGGAGAGAGAAATAACAGAAACCACAAAATAATTGATTAAAAGGGAAAGTGGCAAAGTTTTTTGGGACGTCCCAAAAAGGAAAGATGACAAAGTTTTAAGGGACGGAGGGAGTATACATTATTATTATTATAAGAACGTCAGATTTTTTCTATGACTTTCTTCTGAAAAATAATGTTTTGACCAAGTCAAAATATGATGCAAGGTTTGCATTTAATTAGTAACTTATTATTGTCATACGTAATCAATTTGATATAGATAATTGTAGAAAAGAAGATTTTTCGTTAGAATTTATGTTAATAGGAGGAAAACTAGGTTGGCCATAAATTATACTACGAACTTACAAAGTATAATTCTTCCTTAAACAATAAACATGGTTGAATTCAGACATGCATTGTCCTTAACCCCATGTGATTATCGGACTCGTTTCGCATAATAGTGTGGTATGGCCAATCATATGGTCGGAAAGAAATGTGTTGCATTTATTCACATGACACGAGTTATGAATTGAAGAAATCCATCGGTCTTTTCATCAAGAAATTATTCCAAACAAGAATAATGCATAGCTCAAAATCTCAAATCAATAATAGGAGTATATGTTTTTGTTGGATAATATATATAGAGTAGAGTTAATTAAACGATAATCTACTGTAAATCCTAACAGAAATAGTAATATAGTGTAATACATTCTCTCTTATTAACTGTGGTGGACCACAACAAATGACTTCATTTAAATATAAAACCAAATTATCATAAAATTAAGTTGAAGATTTGATTTCACAAATATCGATCACTATACAATCATTTATATGTTCAATTTCAATTATAATTTACAAAATACTACTCCCTCCGTAATATTCATATCTTCCAATTTTCCCTTTTTAATCGTAACATTTGTATTTTCTCATTTCTAAATCTTCTCATCATACCCTCAATATTCTGTAAATAATACAGAATATGTATACTATTACAACAACTTTTTTGGATTTATTCTTTATTTCAGCACACTATTTCATTATATTCTTATCATACCTTCAATATTTATAGGATTTTCTCCTTAACATTACTAAATTGAACCGAATGTCTAAAAATGCGAGTACTTTTAAAAATTGACAAAAAAATGATTAATAACGTCATATATTTGGAATTTGAACACATGATGTCACTGCCAAAATTTTATGTCACTGTGTTCGTTTTTTCATGTCACAGGGAGTGGTCACCGACAATTTTTTATACGCCAATTACATCACCACTCTTACAATGACACCGCCATAGTGACCCTGCCACCGTGACGCTGCCACAGTGACCCCGCCTCTCCCCTGCAATCGCACCATCTCCTCTGCTTCTGTCACACTGCAGCCCCCTCACCCTCTCACAGCCCCATCACCGTCCTATCCCCCGTCTGATGTCGCACCACCTGTTGCCGCCATCTCCAATCACACCGTTGCCCAACACTAGCCCCATTCCAATCCGTAACCCTAGCCCCATCCCAACCTGTAACCCAGCCACGCCTCACAAGCTCCTCAACCTTAGCCGGAGGCAAGCGAGACGATTAAGCTTCACCGGAGATGAAGAAAGGGGAAAAAGAGACACACAAGAGAAGATAGATCTGCGATGCAACAACACTGGAGGCGTCGTGGTGGTGGAGGCACCGGTCTAGTAAAGGAAGATGGTGATATGGGAGAAGAGGACGATGATTTCGCCCGAGCTTGGAGAAGTGCCGATCTGGTCGATTGGGAAAAGGCTGAGAGTCGCGCGAATGGGCGGAGAAGAAAGTCGTGCAACTTACAAAGCATCCGATTGGGAGAGAGACGGATGGATACTTTTACTCTCTTTTTTGTCAAATTGAAATTTGGTCATATTTTTGTCCATCTAAAGTCCATAAATGATGTTTTTGCCATTGTTTCTAATTTATATTCTTTTTTAGTATTCACAATGTCACCTACTTTTAAATGAAAAAATATGAATGTTATAGAGGTAGTAAAATATTTATTCATTTTTCGATTTCCAATTTTGGATTCTGTCACAAACATGACCCTACCCTAATAATACGAATAAATTCCACTTTTGATCCTACGAATTTTATATCAATTTCATATTTAATCCACATATTTCACTTTGTCCAGTTTTGATACATGACTATTGTGTTTTCATTCATATATGGTCATTCTGTCAATGTTTCCGACGATTAAATTAAAATCGCTAGAAAATACCACAAACGGTTAAAAACATGAGTCAAGTACAAAAAATGGACAAAGTGAAAGAAATGGACTAAATGTGGAATTGACATAAAACTCATAGGACCAAAAGTGAGTTAATTCCCAATAATACCTTTAGAGCTTAAATTTAGCTTTTCATTAACATAATAAGCAGGGCTTAAATGGCTGAAAATATATGATCAAATGTACAACCATATGTAGTTTTGAATTAATAGCATTCTCCATGGACATTTCAATTTCTAGAATTCGGAAATTGAAATTTCTATAATAGCTGTATGTAAATTGAATTTAGCTTCTCAACGTCTTGAAAGGGGTCAAATGAACACCAATTCACTAGGAATTTGGGATGCAAGTATTGGACTATAGGAGGATTGGGGCAAGTTAGGTTGGATTAAGCATTCAAGTTATGATGTTTTCTTTTGGACTGAAATTTACGTGGAGGAGAGAATGTCGAGTTCACTGTGGAGGAAGGTAGCGACAGTCGTACGAAGGCCGTGGACATTTTCGGCCCCAATGGAAACCCTATCATAGGTTGCGGCGGTGTGGGAGGTGACAAAGAAGACCGTGGAGGCCATGGCGGTGGCAATGGAGGCAGGGGCGGAGTTGGCCGTCTTGTGGCTACGGAGGCAGAGGTGGTGAAAGCTATGGTGGCGGCTACGGAGGAGGTGGCGGAGGCTATAGTGGAGGAGGTGGCACCTATGGTTAATTAGGCGACGAATGTCGTTGAGGAGGCGGTGGCGGTGGTGGTTGCTTCTCCTATGGGTAGGAAGGTCACTTTGCTCGGGAATGCCAAAACAACACCCGTTGATCTGTTTATCTAATGACTCAGAAAATGGCATTGTGAATCTTCACACATCTCCTCTCTGCTTTATATTAACATGTCTCTCTTTTAATCATAAAAAAATGTTTGTGTTTATTTCTTTTATGTGAGAAACGCACCGTGCACATTATTGCACATTATTGCACATTATTGCTTTTGAGATACTCTCACACCCTCACATATTTGCATGGAAGCGTCATTCTAACCACACTGCACCTTATATATACGGTGTGGTTCAAATAAAAAGAGTATTTGACGTGAAAAGTACAAAAAAATCACTTTTACTTCACTACAAACACTGCATGATCTTTGAGATTTCGATCAATATTGTGCCTTTTCGCAGTAAGAAAAACACTCAATTATTTATGAAGATGTCATCACATTTTGAACTCAATCTACTGCTAGGAGTTTCAATGATATTTTCTTATCATTTTAAAATGGGAAAAGCGTCAGATGGGTCTCGAACTTACAAAAATGTCAAATAACGCCTTATATAGGAGGCTTTGTCCGGCCGATGCCACTTGGGGCGGTTCCCAGTGGAATGTTTCGATGAAATTTTGTGAGCATCGTATTCATTAAGTCTAGTTTACTAATACCAAATTTCAGCTAAACCTTCAATCGGGAAGGCATTCAAATAAATTCTTTAAGATAACTGCGCTTTTAACAGCGCACTTATCTTCAAGAATTTATTTGAATGCCTTCCCGATTGAAGTTTTACCTGAAAATTGGTATGAGTAAACTAAACTCAATGAATAAGATTCTGAAAAAGTTTCATTGAAAACTTTCATCTAGAACCGCCCCAAATGGCGTCGGCCGGACAGAACCTCATATATAAGGCCTTTCTTGACATTTTTTTGTAAGTTCGAGGCCATATCTGACCCTTTTCCCTTTTAAAATTTTACAAATATGGAAAATTCCCCTTAGTTGAAACATAACCATATAAACCATAATTCTGTATTTAAAAACTTGAACAAAAATAATAGTCTAAAGGATAAATCTTAATTTAGTTACCAAATACGCTATTGTCATTATATATTCACTAACTACAGTTGAAAGTAGGGTTAAGTAAGGAGGCGGGTGAGTAAGAGTCCAGTCAGTGGAGTGCGATCGATAATATAAAGGAATGAAGTGAATGAGGAAAATGACTTGCTAGATCAAAATGCAAGTGTAAAGTGTTACACATGTCCCTCACCTCAATTCTTCCTAATTCAAAACAAAATTGAGGTACACATGCACGCCATGCGCGCTTAATTTAAATTAAAAACCGATGCTCTCAAGGCCGCACACAGTTGTGCACACAAGCTGACAAGCACACACGCCGCGCGCGTTGAAAAATAAAAAAAAAAATGCTCTGAAACAAGTAACATGTGTCCCCGTTGTTCCTCTCCAAGTGTCAACTCCCCCACTTGCCTCTTCCTCAACACCTATATATCCTTCTTCTACCGGCCTTCTCTTCATCTCCTACTCACTACCCAACCCACCCTACCTAGTATTAGTATACTTCCATTTCTCCATCTCATTTAAGTCTCTCATTTGAAATATAGAATATCTTGATCTCGTCCATCCTTTCTTAAATTAATTAAAAAACATGTATGCTGTTATATAAAGGAATGAAGTGAATGAGGAAAACGATTTGCTAGATCAAAATGCAAAGTGTAAAGTGTTACACATGTCCCTCACCTCAATTTCTTCCCAATTTAAAACAAAATTGAGGTGCACACGCCGTGCGCCTGAAGCGGGAATGTCGTGCGCCTGAAGCACGCAAGTCGTGCACACTTAATTTAAATTAGAAACCCATGATCTCTCAAGGTCACACACAGTTGTGCAAACAAGGCACACACGCCGTGCGCGTTGAAAAAAAACGCTCTGAAATAAGTAACATGTGTCCCCGATCTTCCTCTCCAAGTGTCATCTCCCCCAATTGCCTTTTCCTCAACACCTATATATCCTTCCTCCGCGAGTCCTGTGTTCATCTCCTACTCATGATGTTTTCTTCTAGACTGTTTTCAGTCTCAGACCAGACCCGACCAGACAAGATCAAACCAGACAGAACTAGACTTTCGTAGTTATAAAATACACAGAGACTAGACATTTACCAAACCAGACCAGACCAGACCAACAAATTTCAGTCGACAAAAAAACATCATGACTACCCAACCCATCCTATGACGGTAACCGTGATCTTTTCTTCCACCAATCCGGCATCATATCTGATGGATATCATGTCCTCTGTGAAGGAGAGAATGTCGAGTTCACCGTGGACGCACGTAGCAATGGTCCTACGAAGGCCGTGGACATTTTCGGCTCCAAAGGAAACACTATCACAGTTTGCGGCGGTGTGGGAGGCGACATAGGAGGCCGCGAAGGCCATGGTGATGGCTATGGAGGCAGGGGCGGAGGTTGCCATCTGGTGGCTACAGAGGCAGAGGTGGTGAAAGCTATGGTGGCAGCTGTAGAGGAGGTGGCGGAGGCTATGGTGGAGGAGGCGGCACCTACGGTTAATCAGGCGACGGATGTCGTTGAGGAGGCGGTGGCTGTGGTGGTTGCTTCTCCTGTGGCTAGGAAGGTCACTTTGCTCGTGAATGCCAAAACAACACTCGTTGATTTGTTTATCTAATGACTTAGAAAATCGCATTGTGAATCTTCACATATCTCATCTCCGTTTTATAATATCAATTCTCTCTTTTAATCATAAAAAAATGTTTTTGTGTCTATTTCTTTTACGTGAGATACGCACCGTGCACATTATTGCACATTATTACTTTTGAGATACTCTCTCACCCTCACACATTTGAATGGAAGCGTCATTCTAACCACACCACACCTTATATATACGATGTGGTTCAAATAAAAAGAGTATTTGACGTGAAAAGTACAAAAGTTTCACTTTTACTTCACTACACTGCATGATCTTTTAGATTTCTATCAATATTGTGCCTTTTCGCAGTAACAAAAACATTCAATTATTTATGAAAATGTCATCACATTTTTAACTCAATCTACTGCTAGGAGTTTCAATGATATTTTCTTATCATTTTAATATTATACAAATATGGAAAATTCCCCTTAGTTGAAACATAATCGTATAAACAATTATTTTGTATTTAATACCTTGAACAAAAATAACACTCTAATGGATAGATCTTAATTAGTTACCAAAAACGCTACACTCGTTATATATTCACTAACTACAATTGAGAGTAGGGTTAAGTACGGGGGTGAATGAGTAAGAGTCCAGTCAGTGGAGTGGGATCGATAATATAAAGGAATGAAGTGAATGAGGAAAATGACTTCCTAGGTCAAAATGCAAGTGTAAAGTGTTACACACATCCCCCACCTCAATTTCTTCCTAATTCACAACAAAATTGAAGTACACATGCACGCCGTGCGCGCTTAATTTAAATTAAAAACCGATGCTCTCTTAAGGTCACATATAGTTGTGCACACAAGCACACACGCCGTGCGCGTTGAAAAAAACGCTCTGAAACAAGTAACATGTGTCCCCGTTGTTCCTCTCCAAGTGTCAACTCCCCCAATTGCCTCTTCCTCAACACCTATATATCCTTCTTCTACGGGCCCTCTCTTCATCTCTTACTCACTACCAAATCCACCATACCTAGTATTAATATACTTGCATTTCTCCATCTCATTTAAGTCTCTTAATTGAAATATAGAATATCTTGATCTCGGCCATCCTTTCTTAAATTAATTAAAAAACATGTATGCTGCTATATAAAGGAATGAAGTGAATGTGGAAAATAATTTTCTAGATCAAAATGCAAGTGTAAAGTGTTACACATGTCCCTCACATCAATTTCTTCCCAATTTAAAACAAATTTGAGGTGCACACGCCGTGTGCCTGAAGCGGGAATGTCGTGCGCCTGAAGCGCGCATATCGTGCACGCTTAATTTAAATTAAAAATCTATGCTCTCTCCAGGTCACACACAGTTTTGCACACAAGGCACACACGCCGTGCGCGTTGAAAAAAAAACACTCTAAAACAAGTAACATGTGTCCCCACTGTTCCTCTCCAAGTGTCATCTCCCACAATTGCATCTTTCTCAACACCTATATATCCTTCATCCGCTAGTCCTCTCTTCATCTCCTACTCAGGTTGTTTTCTTCTAGACTGTTTTCAGTCCCATATCAGACTAGATCAGACCATACAGAATCATAATTTCGTAGTTATAAAATACACAGAGACTAAACATTTAACAGACAAGACCAGACCAGTTCAGACTAACAAATTTTGGGCCAAAAAAACATCATCACTACCCAATCCACCCAATGACGGTAACCATGATCTATTCGTCCACCAATCCGGCATCATATCTGATGGATATAGCGTCCTCTGTGAAGGGGAGAATGTCGAGTAAGTTCACCGTGGAGGAAGGTAGCGATGATCGTACGAAAGCCGTGGACATTTTCAATCCCAATGGAAACCCTATAATAGGTTGCGGCGGTGTGAGAGGCAACAGAGGAGGCCGCGAGGTCATTGTGGTGCCTATGGAGGCAACGGCGGAGTTGGCCGTCTGGTGGCTACGAAGGAGATGTGGTGAAAGTTATGGTGGCGGCTACGGAGGAGGTGGCGGAGGCGGCACCTATGGTGAATCAGACGGCGGATGTCGTTGAGGAAGCGGTGGCAGTTATTTCTCCTCTTTTATGTTATTCTAACCACACTACACCTTATATAAACAGTTTGGTTCAAAGTAAAAGAGTATTTGATGTGAAAAGTACAAAATTTTCACTTTTACTTCACTACACTACATGATCTTTTTTTTAACACAAAAAATTACAATCACTATAGATTGGACGAAGGCAATCATTAAATTGTGACTTTGGCAGTTATTTACACTGCACAATCTTTTAGATTTCGATCAATATTGTGCTTTTTCGCAGTAACAAAAACATTCAATTATTTATGAAGATGTCATCACATTTTTAACTCAATCTACTCCTAGGAGTTTCAATGATATTCTCTTATCTTTTAATATTATAAAAATATGGAAAATTCCCCTTAGTTGAAACATAACCGTATAAAAAATAATTTTGTATTTAATACCTTGAACAAAAATAATACTCTAAAGGATAAATCTTAATTAGTTACCAAATACGCTACTTTCATTATATATTCACTAACTACAGTTTAGAGTAGGGTTAAGTAAGGGGGCGAATGAGGAAAATGACTTGCTAGATAAAAATGCAAGTGTAAAGTGTTACACACATCCCTCACCTCAACTTCTTCCTAATTCAAAACAAAATTGAGGTACTCACACATGTCGTGCAAGCTTAATTTAAATTAAAAACCGATGCTCTCTCAAGGTCAGACACAGTTGTGCACACAAGCACACACGCCGTGCGCGTTGAATAATAAAAAATATGCTCTGAAACAAGTAACATGTGTCCCCGTTGTTCCTCTCCAAGGGTCAACTCCCCCAATTGCCTCTTCCTCAACCCCTACCCTATATATCCTTCTTCTGTCGGCCCTCTCTTCATCTCCTATTCACTACCGAACCCACCCTACCTACTATTAGTATACTTCCATTTCTCCATCTCATTTATGTCTCTTAATTGAAATATAGAATATCTCGATCTCGTCCTTCCTTTCTTAAATTAATTGAAAAATCATGTATGTTGCTATATAATGGAATGAAGTGAATGAGGAAAATGATTTGCTAGATCAAAATGCAACAGTAAAGTGCTATACCAGGCCAGTAAATTTTAGTCCAAAAGAAAACATCATCACTCCACAACCCACCTTATGACGGTAGCAATGATCTTTTCGTCCACAAATCCGGCATAATATCTGTTGCATATTGCGTCCTCTGTGAAGGAGAGAATGTCGAGTTCACCTTGGAGGAAGTTAGCGACAATCGTAGGAAGGCCGTGGAAAATTTACAGCCCCAAAGGAAACCCTATCATAGGTTGCGGCGGTGTGAGAGGCGACAGAGGAGGCCTCGGAGGCCATGGCGGTGGCTATGGAGGTAGGGGCGGAGGTTGCCATCTGGTGGCTACGGAGGCAGAGATGGTGAAAGCTATGGTGGCAGCTACGGAGGAGGTGGTGGAAGCTATGGTGGAGGAGGCGGCACCTACGGTTAATCAGGCGACGGATGTCGTTGAGGAGGCGGTGGCGGTGGTGGTTGCTTCTCCTGTGGCTAGGAAGGTCACTTTGCTCGTGAATGCCAAAACAACACCCGTTGATCTGTTTATCTAATGTCTCGGAAAATGGCATTGTGAATATTCACATATCTAATCTTTGTTTTATATTATCATGTTTCTCTTTTAATCATAAAAAAATATTTACGTGTCTATTTCTTTTATGTGAGATACGCATCGTGCACATTATTTCACATTATTGCTTTTGAGATACTCTCACACCCTCACATATTTGCATGGAAGCGACATTCTAACCACACTGCACCTTATATACACGGCGTGGTTCAAATAAAAAGAGTATTTGACGTGAAAAGTACAAAATTTTCACTTTTACTTCACTACATACACTACATAATCTTTGAGTTTTCGATCAATATTGTGATTTTTCGCAGTAACAAAAACATTCAATTATTTATGAAGATGTCATCACATTTTTAATCCAATCTACTGCTAGGAGTTTCAATGATACTTTCTTGTCATTTTAATATTATACAAATATGGAAAATTCCCCTTAGTTGAAACATATCCGTATAAACAATAATTATGTATTTAATACTCTGAACAAATATAATACTCTAAAGGATAAATCTTAATTAGTTACAAAATACGCTACTGTCATTATATATTTGACCGGGCTAAACTTGCAAGTGTACAAGTGCCGATATAGTAATAAATTCCGGTAAAATACGGGGTCGAATCCACTAGGAAACGTTGTTGAATTCAAGTCCGAGAGTAGATAGCTTTAAATGAAGAAATGAGTAAAGTGCAAGGATTTTGATTTGTGTTTTATATTTTTGGTGTTTCACTTTTTGTTCAAGAAGATAATTGTTAACTAACTTTGAGTTTAAGTTGAATAATAACAACAACTAAGGCTTTGGGAATCACTTAAATGCTTTAATATGAGTTTAATGCTTTACCAATAATTATGAATACGATGTCGCAAATATATTCTCAACTCCAGTTAAGGCAGCGAGAGCGTGGTTTTCGTTACGTGTAAGTCCCGTTACGGCTTACATTCATCTACGGAAAACCCCGTTGAATATCAAGACATCACACCCGCATCATATAAGACCAGATATATTTCTATTCTCTGTGCTATATATGTTTATCCTTTAATGTTCATAGTTTAGACTTCAACGTTATTTGCAAGTATAAAATAAATTTAACATAATTCTATTTTGTACACCATAGTCATAAACAATCAATATATAAAGGATAAATCACAATTTATTGGTTTATAACTTTTATCAAACACCTAGTGGGCATAGAAGTTCATCCCTAGCCTTAGCTAAGAATTTAGCTACTCATGCTCATATTATTTACAAAAGTGTAACTAAGAATAAGGAAATACAATATCATACAAGAAAAATTACCTAGAAGCAATCGTAGAGGAGAGAAATGGATTCTTCTCCAACTCTTCAAGATAATACAAAAATAAAATATAAAAACTGAATTTTAAGCTCTAAAGATGGAATGATCCTCTTGTTTGATGAATTGAGGGCTTATATATAGACTAAAGATTGGCGTTAGACTATTCGAGCCCAACAATTAGGCATGGGAGATATATTTGATCAGATCATGAGGAAGGTGAGAATTCCCCGTCAAAATATTGTTGCACGTCTCCGTGTTTTGTGCAGAATCGGACCTAACCGGCGCCAGTTTCAGGCCTGACCGGCGCCGGTCTTCTTTTGGCGCTGGGAAAATACGGAAAAATACCATAACCAGCGCCGATTATAGAGGTGTACCGGCTCTGGTTCGCTCTCGGCGAATCCGTAAAATAGCAAATTAAATCAAACCGGCGCTCACTTTGTGAAATTCCGGCGCCGGTTTTGTCCTGGGATTTTGGGGATGTTACGCAACCAATTTGGACATGATTACTTCACCAAAGTTGTAGATAATGAAGTCTTCTATCCACCAAAACTTGAGTGACGTGTTTTCAGTTATCCAATCAAAAGATATGGATAAAACATTGAGAGGTATGCATCCTGAAATCCCACCAGCAACATCTTAATTTATTGGTTGATTGAGTCTTGATCCTTTCATATTCTGGCCATGACGTCTTCATAACATTTGTACCTTATTGAGTTAACATTCACATGAAATTTGAATCGAGTAATTTCTAGTTCTGTACAATAAGTTATACTCGAATTATGGGCAGAACGTCATCCTCTTGGTCCAAAAAGCTCCTCGTAGTTGGATTAAACTCCATCACAATACAAAAAAGGAAAAAACACACCGAGAATTAAAAACAATCCAAAATACCATATGTCGTTAATTCAAGTGATTGCGTTCAAATTAAATATTGATTCGGTAAAAAGATAATGTTGTTAGTTTTAAAAGCATACCATTTTCTGTTAATTTTAAAGGCTTTGATTTGTGAATAAAATGATCAATCATTTAAGTAATTTATATCCAAATATCCTCAAACTTATAAGAGTGAATAAGGGTTAGGGCATTTTGGGCATATAAAATGTGTTGGTTGTATCCCAAAGCAATTGATAATTGTACAAAATGATTAAATTGTTGTACCTCACATGACTCTTTACATTCCCGTTAGTTTTTCCGTCAAAGTGAAGATCTCTTGAAAACCCATTCATTTCTCCTTATCTACTTGGCTAGCCAAACATTTACTTCCACGGTTCCACCAAACTAATTAATTAGATTGAAGCTATCATTAATTGTGATTCTCTTAAATTATATCCATGTGGATCATTCGTCCATATCTAATCATGACGCACAAAAGCGGTTTTGGACAACGAGTTTAGGTTAAAATGGGATGAAATTTGGATACACGTTGATAACATTTACTTTAGGGAAAAATAATTAAAATATTCCAAACTTTGATGGGGTGTGAGATAAGCACCCCAAACTTGCATATATAATTTAAATACCTCAAACTTTATATAAAAAGTTATTTTAGCACTATGGTCATGTATTATTTTTTCAAGACGCGGGGACGTTCGTCCCCATGAGCACCTATAGGGGGACGTAAATGACTAGGGGGTGAGGACGTTCATCCCCATGGGGACGAACGTCCCCAGGTCTTGAAAAAAATAATACATGACCATGGTGCTAAAAATAACTTTTTATACGAAGTTTGGGGTATTTGAATAACATATGTAAGTTTGGGGTGCTTATGTCACACTCCATCAAAGTTTGGGGTATTTTAATTATTTTTCCCTTTACTTTAAGTTAAGGACCGTCTCACTACAGTAACTATGATGCTTTGATTGTTTAGATATCATTTTTTCTACTCTAAATTTTAATTTGACTCGAGCCACTTTTAGTAATACGTCTATTCATTTGATTGTTAATGTGCTGTAGTTTCAATTTTTTTTTGCAACAATAGAGATATTATACATCCTTTAAAATAAAAATCGGGAATTATGAACAAAAATATTACACCCTCCGTTCCGCTAAAATTAGCTCATCTTTCCTTTTTGGTCGATACCTCCCACTAAAATTGTTACATTCCAAATTTAGTAAAAAATTTGTGTGATTTTAAATAATTATGACTTTATTCTTATTTTATCGATCAATTCAATATAAACCACATACACTCATGTTTCTCAATAAGTGTGTCACCTCGTCATGTCCCATTGTTAGAGGAATGGGATAATGTGATGTTACCATGGAGGGTAAGGAATTTGATGTTATATATAGTGCTATATTGGTTTAGAATTCTTCCGTCACAATGAAGCTTAAGTTTTGTTTAATAAAGTAACATTTCTTTCAGAAGTTTAGAGACTAATGGTTAGGACATTTCCGAAAGTTTAAACAAATGACATTTTTTATATGTTAAACACATGAAAAATTCCTGAAATATGAGTAAAAATGTTTGAGAATTCCAAAACAGGATTGTCATGTTTTTATTTCCAATATAAGAGTAAATATTTCCAAGCTTGAAAAATACTGTCATGTTTAAAGTTTGGTTTTGCCAAATACATGACAGTGATTACTCATATTTTGGAAGTAAAAACACGATACTCCTATTTTGAAAGATACAAATGTTTTTAGTCCTATTTAAGGTAATTTCCCTTAAAAATAACATGCATCAATAAGACATCCATTTGCTCTTGGCAATGGTAATTTTTTTAGGTATATTATTTTGTGTGGGTTTTTGAGTTTTTTATTGTTAAAATGTGCTTTTATTTTTTTCTCCTTACATGTGAGAAAGTTTATAATTATTAGAGCTTTCTCTACAATTGTTTATAATTATTAGAGCTTTCTCTACAATTATATAAGCATGAATGTTGTTAGGGTATAACGGTCTTGAGAAAATGTTTGTGTCATTTTAAAGTTTCAAATAACAGTCTTTTTTGTTTGCCTATTTATCAATATCCCTACAATGGCGTTGGGCATTACCACGAACGCGCAACGCGCGTTACATAACTAGTATATCTTAATAAAGTTCAATATTGTACATGTCAGTAAAAGCTGACCTCCTATTTGAAGGTACTTATAATACATTTTTATCTTATATATATATCACCTTTAAAATAATATGAAATCTGAGGAACTAATAATAGACTAAATTAATTAAAAATTATAGCATTTGTATTATCTTTTTACATTCATTTACTTCACTAAATATATTCTTTATAAATGTTCTCTATTGACCCGAGATATTTTACAAAAGAGTAAAATAACTAAAGTCACAATTTATGTACTTCTCCCGTCCCATTAGAAGGTTCTCACTTTCTTTTTTTGCACGTCTCGTTAGAAGGTTCTCATTTCCATTTTAGGAAACAATCTTAAGTGACAAGTTAATCATTAAATATTAAAAATAATACATTTATAACATCACAATTATCAATACTAACTACATTATAATATATACCTATTAAAATTAGTTCTCAAAATATACTCGAAATGTTTTATTTAATTATTGTCTAAATAACCGTGCCATTTTGTTATGGGAACCTTCCAACGAGATGGAGGGAGTAATTTTTTTATAATAAAGAATGAAATAACTATAGTCACTATTTAGACAATTCATAAATAAAATAGCTAAAGTCACAATTCTTTGGATCTAAAATTGTCATTTCTTTTTCATTAATTTACTTCACTACATGTAGTCTTTATAAATGTTCTAGTCTAGCCTATTTTGAAAATCTGAAATCGACTATTTAGCTCTAAAAGGGAAAAAGAAAAACTCATTTACTCACTTAACTTTCTCCCCTTCTATTCTCATATTTCAATCTGCATAA